CTTTTTGCTGCTTATTAATAGTAAGTAAGGTAGCTGTTGTTGTTGTAGTTATGTTTAGGTATTTGATAGGGTTAAGGGATCTAGAATATGGTCATGCATTAACATGTGCTTCATAAGTTCTAATAAACAGCCAATATGCAAGTAATAAGCAACTAGTTTATAGTGAATAGTGTTCCCTAATCTAAAGTGTTATTGTGTTGGGTTGTAACACTCACACTATAAAGCATATAACAATGCACAGGATTTCTCATGTGATTGTTTATCTTTCATACAGACTGAATTAGGTCAATAAGTGGGTGTGATTCATAATAAATGCCAGTTTAGATGATTAGTATGTGTGTTATAGTGATGGAAGACAATGGGAGGAGAGTGTCAAACAGGTGTTTCAACTTCAAGCGAGAGCATCATAAGAAACGGAGTGATATCAGATGTGAATGTTTTAGTGGTGACAGCTTCATGAGTGGGGCTCTTCTCCTCTCCTTGAGTTATATTATACGTGACTCATAACTGTAAACAGGCACAGCTGCAGTCAAATTCTTCATGCGTAAGATCAGCCAGTGTGTGAAATCACTGACACGAGACTCAGGTAATACGGATGTGAAACTGACCTGAAGGGACTAGATGAGAGATATCGTCATTTTGAAATTGACATTCAGATGGACAAAAACACAGTGACTCGTCACTGTCAGGTTTGCAGTACTTGTGCCTTTATTGTGGTCACAAGTGGAAAACTTTAAGTAGATATAAGTAATCTTACTCTCCAAAAAAATCATCAGTTTCCTCACAAATCTACAATTTCATGGGTATTTTTCGAAGCAAATGAAGGGAGAAGAGTGGGGTGAGTTTGCCTGAAGGCTTGACTGATGTTACTGCTCCCGCACATTCTTGTCTTATCCTAATGGTGTAAGATAATGATAGACCGGCCCGCTCAGTTCGCATTGATAATGTGCTTCTGGAAAGACTCCTTAGGGTCAAAACCATTGCCTTGCTGGAGCACAGAAAGAGTGCAGGGAAAATGTTCTGGCATTTTGATGAGAGAGACAGAGAGGTGTGAGGCACTAAAAGGTCTGCTGGCTTTAGATTAGGAAGAAGGGAGAAAAAAGGTGTACGGCTGTATTTCGCACCTCATCAAACCTGACATCTGGCCTCTGTCACCTCCTTCAGCAAAGAGCAATTCAAGAGGAAAAAAAGAAAAACGACAAAGGATTTAACTTTCATTTACATTCTCATTGGGAGGCGTTTGGGTTTGCCTGTAAAAAAAACTGCGTCCATGATGCAAGGAGTTTTTGGGTGGTCGCTAGGGTGTTGTTATGTGGTCCAGGGTAATTATAGTTAACTACAAAATAATAATAATAATAATTTTTAATAATAATTTTTATTATTACAACTTTCATAACTCTTGTTTTTGTTTAGTTTAATTTGAAGTACTAAAATAACTTAAACTAAATCAATTAATACATTTAAAAACAGATAAAAATGATTTTTTTTCTCAAAATCATTAACCAAATTTAGTAAAGTAAAACCAGAAAATATAAAATAAAAAATCATTTAAATATAATTGAAATTATTATACCAATATATATTAAAATAACACTGAGATATATATATATA